TGAAAGACAATTTAATCTAATAGAAACCTAACAGGTACTGTATAATGATTGGTCCTGATATACATTATATACTATTCTTCTTGCCAAAATAAACCTACTGGCGATTTAGTGATACGGGTAGATCCAAGTTTCACATTTCATCAAATGCTAGTAATCTGTTTTATCAATATAAACTGCATTTTAATGAAAAAATTCTTTTCTTCAGTACACTTCACTTTTAATGCCCCAGAGTATAATAATTCGTTCATGCTGTAGAACAAGAATGTTTTACAAGACCTTAACTCTCCAGAGAAATTTCTCTGTAAATACAAAATGCAAGTTTTATGGGAATGTGTTGTATGCAACATGAGCAGTACCCAACATAATAAAAAACTAGGTTGCACAGAGAATTCTGCTTAAGTATCCTTATGAGCTATTGTGGGACTAAATGGTTATTATGGCAGCATTGAGTTGAATACCTATCCGACAGATAAAAGAGAGTCAGTAAAATTATTTCTGCCTCTGAACAGATAAAAAGAAATGAGTTTTTTTAGAAAGTTTTGCAAAATAAATACATCCCAGCAGACCATCCAGCCAGGCTCTCCTTTAGGAGGGCACAGTTGCTCTGCCGCTGGAGAACTGTGGGGACAACTCATCTATTTGGCTCCTGAATTGTAAGCAATGGGGTGCTCTGGGGCAATGGATACCCCCTAGGGCTAGAATAGGAACTCTGGCATCATCCCCTGGAGGCACAGAATGCGAGTACTGAAGGAAGCACCAGTGACTGGGGATGCTCGAGCCTCCCTTCATCCCATTCACCCAATTCTCAGCTAAAATCCTCCACGTTGTGCCTTTCTAAGCCAACACTGTGCTTCCCTCCCAATAGGTGTCATGTCCCAGATCTTGTGAGCATCCCTCCTGCCTGCCAACGCCAGCCCTCAAACTCTGCTTGAAGCAGGTGAGGAGGAAAGCCATTCAGTGGAGCAATTTCCACCATCTAGTTCTTCAGCAGCAAGCCCCAAGGTAGGAGCAGGCTATTGGAGTTATCTAATTATGCTAATTACCCATAAACTGTGGTGACAGGGAGGCTATGACTACCAGAGAGCACCATGGAGATGCCCAAGCCACCTCTAAGTGCAGCAGGTAGCCTCAAAGCCAGAATCACTATCATTAGCATCATACTCCACCTAAGCTAATAAATGCTTCTGCATGGAAAGCTAATTAGCCAACAACTGCATTTCTAAGGCATATTGCTTCCAACACACAAGACTGTTAGTGAGAGCTCACTTGGGTACCACTGCAAAGCACCTCTTGATGTCACACAGCCACATCTCCAGTTCCTGTTCATAGATTTGTGTTTGGACATTCAGGTCTGCCCCTGGTTGTGGGCATTACTATTTTCCATGACTGCAAAGCTACTGTGTGGTGTTAATTACAGAAGAAAGGTGAGTTAGTTATCAAACTCCTAGTTATCTAAACAGAGGTCTCAAGTTCAGCCCTGCAAGCCTGATCCCAGTAATGCAAGTCACAAGAATTATTACTTTCTTTCCCCAAAACAGGCTCCTCCCCACATGACAGCGATGTTTCTTTACAAGAGATACTGTCAGTGCCATTTAGAAACCTGTGTTTAGTCAGAAGCTCCCTTGACTGTTCATACAGCATTCTCAAAATCGCAAAATCCTGTCTCTCTTACACTACAACTAACAAATATAAAAACAAATGGTTGAAAACATCCTGTTAACTGTACTATGTTATAAAAGCAAATTAAGAAACAACATTCTAAAATGTTTAATTCTGCTCCTAAATGTGTAATGCAGACAGCATGAGACACCAGCTAACAAGTTCCACTTAAAAGAAACCACTGCCATCTTCTGCTGTCATCCCATGTGCTCCTCATGTTTCTTTTATATTAGCCCACTTTAGTCCAATCTGCGTGTTGAGCTCTTAGGAACATTAATTCATTCTTGCTTATAAAAGTATCTCCCTTTTCTACCGCATCGTGGTGATGGTAAAGATATACCACAATTAGGGGACTAGTGATAATAACTAAAATCTGTATTACAATTTGCATTGGAACGAATTGCATGGAGCACTCAACCTGACCCAGCTTTGCCAACTACCAGGGATGGAATGGATGCAGACAGAACGAGAGAATGCACTCAAAATACCAGCAGAGGTGTTCCAGCAGGGCTTGCTGGCAGAATGAGAGGCAGCTGCCAAGGACAACATCATTAGAAAGGGAGTTTTGCTCTCGGATTGTAGTTTCTGTGTGCACAAATAAAAATACATCATATCAAAATAGATTTTATCGATCCTATAGGAAAAAAAAATTCCTTTTTATTACATTATAATAGAAAATAAATTGAAATTTAGTAAACGACAACGTAAGTGTGAATTACAACATATTTAATTCACTGTGATGTTGAAGAAAAAAGGCCTGATGCACAGCACATATGGCATGTAAGATCAGCTATGGGTGTACATCTCTTGCAATACCTATGCACTACGAAGTGACATAAACTTGGAATGTTATTTGTTTATAAGCTTAGAAGTCTGGTAATATATATTTCTACATAATAAATGTATATCAGAACATATATAAAGGAGAATTCAAAATCTGAAATGAGGGAGGATGAATCCATATGGAACAGCTGTGGTACCACAGGGTCCAGTATGGAAGCTAGTCATTGTCAGAGCCAGAAAATGGGAGGATTAGCTCCACACATTGCTTACTCTGCTGAATCCTCAAATCTTTTCATCTCCTCTCATGCCAGATAAGGACCACTGTCTGTGTTTGCTCAGGGAACAACAAGAGGTGCCCCTACGACAAATCTTTATCATAAAATAATTCTCTTCACAAAATGCATTGCTAACTTCTTGTAAGTATGAGAAAAGCAGTGATTAGATGCCCATCTGAAATATTTAATTACACATTACGTGTATGTGTAATGCTACATCTCTCCTTAGCCATTTTCCTTCGTCCTGATGTGATCATTCACTGCACTGCTTGTGTCAGTTTGCACAGCCATCATCCACAGTAATCACATTAACAGGTAAACACATGACAGGATTTACTTGTTTGACATGCTCTTTTAACACAGTTTTTTGATCAAAGGTCAGATGTATCTCCTTGTATTTTACCCTACAATCTCGGTGCTGATCTAAAATAATCTTTACACGATCACTAGCACAAGCGTGAGGATGATTTCTTAGATCACTTCTGTCCACATGAAGGTTCCATTTGAGACACACACACCCTTTGACATTCACACGCGAAATAAAAGAGGTCAGAGTAAAGAGAAAAAACCACCCCTGCTTATTTTGCCTTCAGAATTTTTAAATATTTCCCCAACATCTCAGCAAAATTATGCATTTTAAAAAGACTGCAGGCACTGAAATGATTGTCAGTCATGCAAATAATCACTTACTTACACTGTATGAGTTTGGTTTGGATAAAGCAAATTACCATTTGAAAATAACTTGAAAAACACTCTGGGCTAAGAGCTTGCTTTATAAATTTTAGCTTGGCCACAATTTTTCTTAACCTTTTTCTCCTCAATCTCCATTCTGTCATTATAGCAATTCAGTCTAAATTAAAAAAAAAACAAAAACAAAACAAAACAAAGAAAAAACAGCAAAACCAAAAAACTGTCACAGTTGCATTCACCATCATTGAAAGCATGATCCTGTAAAGAAATAGTCCATATGGGCTGCAGTTGAAGGTCAAAACCTAAAGAATTTCAGAGTTATGCAGAGGATTGCCAAAAGACTTTCCCAGGTACATCAAAAACCACGAGGCACTTTTACAATGGTTCAGGATTGAATACGTGAAACATCCACTGCATTGCCTCACTTTAAAGGCATGGTCTCTAAGAAGCAATAGTAGGTTTGCAGAGAGGTACAGGTAATGATCTCTTCTGCCACCCTGAGAGACAAGACCCCAAGCAGCACTGGAGGATTTTAACATGCTTGCCAAACACATAGCTTTAAGACTTCACGCTAGACATGGATTTTTAAAGGATTTGCATCAGTCCTTTAGAATATGTTTGCCTAGTGACTGAAATGCAAACCTTGCTCTGCAACATCAATAGCATGCATGGCCTGATACTAAAAATCTCTCTACCCCGAACTGCCACACACATACACTCAGTCTTTGAAGTGGCTGTAAGTACAAGCAGGTCAGGACAAACATCTCATGTGACCAGAACTGTCAGCAGATCAGAACACAGACTCTTGCAGTCATGATGCTGCTTACCACCCTTACTCCAACAAAGCACGTACCCAGCATCAAGTCATTTTTAAGAGTATAATCAAATTGCAGAATCAAACCTATCTCTATTTAGTATCGGTCCCATCGAAGCAAAGTTCCTGTTCAGTGGGAGGAAAGTTCCTTATAATAGGAAAAACAATTGTGCCAGGTTTAATCAAAAGTGAAAGGGATCTGGTGAATGTTCCCTTTGAGCCACATAACCCGCTGCTAATTTCAGGATGGGCTCTGAAACAAGGGTAATAAAAAACGTCCTTCGTAGTAACTGAGGAAGACTGAAGAGCAACTGCAAGCTGCAGCTAATGCCAAAATCTGCAAGTCTGCTCCGTGCTACTGAAATGCTTTTCACCTACCTGGGAAGCAATAAAAAGAGAGGTAGGGGAGGGGGGAAGGAATAAAATCCCACTACAACATACCAAGGGAAATATAGCTTCTCGACTACAGCCTTATCGCTGTTAGTGTTCTCTAGAATTTCTTTCTCCTCCTTGACCTCCCCTGTACAAACAAACAGATGGAGTTGAGGCACAGTCAACTTTTTAAAAACTAAAACAAGTGGGAAATTATTCACACCCAGCGATGAGGGTTTCTATGCTGCCCCAGCAGCCTCTGATTGCTGAAATATACTTACTAAGGGAGAGTGCCTATCTTCCAGCTCTTTACTTTAACAACGCTGTAACTGATTAGTTAAAGCTTCACCATAAATAGGTAGTTTTGACAGACTGGAGGCAATTTATGACGTGGAAAATGTACTGACCTGCTCACATCAGGAAACCTGACTGGAAAATAAAGAACTTGGCACTTCGGTCTGATTATTTTTTCCAAATCCTTAGGTCTGTGGTCAGGAATCAGCTTCATAAATTTTCCAATGGATGTAAGAAATGATTCCATATTAAAAGCAGAGTTGAACACCACAATATCAGCAACCAAACTGTAAAAAGCAGTGAAGGTTAATGAGCACACTGCTGTTGCTAAAGGAGCTGAGCTATTTTAAATGCAATGAAAACAGGATACACATTCTCATATACAAAATGTATAATGGAAATGCCAATTAATATTAGCCTTTTCAGGTGAACCAGAAGTAGCATACATACCTTAATCAGAAATGTTCCAATTCCCGTGTTTTTATACTTTGAATTATTTTTGAACTCTTTAAAAGCAAATAACAATGTATTATTATCAACCTAAAGGAGCAGATCCCATTCTATCCACAGTTCACCTTCCATTCATAACATGGGTAAGACTAATATTATATTCCTTGTTTTTCCAGAGCCCTACAAACAGATCAGGGGCACCGTAATATGTCTTTGGCAGAGCCTGGAAGAAGACTCCTCATAGAAAACGCTTTGTACTGAAAGACAACATCTGTTTACATGGGTGGATAGTGACAGGACAAGGAGGAATGGTTTCAAACTGAGACAGGGGAGGTTCTTAATACAGAGGAAGTTTTTCACACAGAGGGTGGTGAGACACTGGAACAGGTTGCCCAAGGAGGCTGTGGATGCCCCATCCCTGGAGGCATTCAAGGCCAGGCTGGATGTGGCTCTGGGCAGCCTGGTCTGCTGGTTGATAACCCTGCACATAGCAGGGGGTTGGAACTGGATGAGCATTGTGGGCCTTTTCATCCCATGGCCATTCCATGATTCTATGATTCCATTCTATGACAAGTTACCTTTGGTTAACCTAACTTTGACTGGCCAAGTGGGCCATGGACTGGGATAACAAAGATTAACGGTTTTGTTTTTTAACCTGTGCACAAAAAGTACACGCACTAAACAAAATGGAGATACCACATAGTACACAGAATCAAATAAAAAGAAAAAAAAGGTTTGGTACATTAATATGTTGTATTGCTCCTTAGCGCTGTGTTCTAAAACCAATCAGATCTAGAGATTTCAGAAGCAGCTGAAATAGTAACATAAGAAATATTCCTTAACTGAGAGTTGGTCAGGAGACAGTAAAAAGCTACCGAGTCCCTGAAGGCCCTGAAGTATCTGGAACTGTGCATGGGAAGCTCTGACACAGCCTTGGCTGCCCTGGCAAATGCAGCGCTGATGGAGGTAAGGTTGGCACCTAGCAAAGGCTCCAGACATTTCCACCTCTCTTTGTCTCATATATTGAGCCTCATCTGTTCAGCTTCATCCTGGAGGCTGTGCATAGCACTGTAAGCCTGAATGCCCTTGTCATCCTTGCAGCCCAGTCAGCTACAAGGAAAGGAATTCCACCATTGAAAAGTGTGACTTTATTACCAGCATCATCGCAACGCTTCTGAATCATTAAGGAGAAAATAAAATCTCCCTTAACGACTCAAGAAGATTCCAAGTGCTCCACTTTCAATTTTCTCCAAAACATCTATGCAAAACAGCATGGAAAGATAGAGTTGGAAATATACCGATATAAAGATAGATCTGGAAATATGTATTTTCGTGTTTCTAGTATTTCCAACAGATTTGGAAGATGGCATTTCCTTGCAGATGACCACTGGGTAGTTACACAGTGCACTGAGGAGATGGCTTTCATTTGCTCTTAAAAATGGGCTTTATACAGCAACAAAAAATGAAAGATGGAAATTACATAATTATACAGAGGTGCTACTGGAGGCTGAAGGAAATGGAATGGAGCATCTATAGAAGACTTTTAGGGGGAGGTGAGGCAAAATAATTTTATGATTTTAAAAATGTGTGCTTTGAAGATAATGTCTGTCAGCTTACAATAGAAAAATAACTGCCGTAAGAAAGCAAAACATACATAAAAAAATATTCCTTACCTCAGTGCCACAAAAAGACATCTTCATGGTGTAAAATCTGAAAATGGCTGCTAAAGCTTTATTGGATTGCTCACTATCCTCTCCCACTCCACTGCTCAAGCAGTGAAACATGTGCAAATGCAGCAGTGGCAGCAGCAGGATGGCCAGAGTGTACCCTGAGAAATTTGACTATCAACTGGCCTACATTATAATGATACAAAAGCTTAACTTACACCTTCAAATGCTCAATCCCTGGTCCTCAGAATTCTCCAAATAGCAGTTAGGAAAGAAAAGATCATTCAAATCAATTTATTCCAGTTCTCAGAACGACTCAGTTTTGCTGTTTCACTTAGGTATGTACAGAGTCTAACCACAAAGCTTTTCAGTGTGGTGGTTATTAACTTCTTTCATTAACTTAGATTCAAGAAATACATTTGTTTTTAGCAACAATAAAGGACCGCAGCCTTTAAAATGTCTGGGTATTTTAGCACTGCACAATTTCTGAATACCAGATGAAAAAAATACAAGGATTTATCTGGTATGTTTACTGCCCTCTCTTCACAAGAAAAGTGCAGCATTACGTTTTAATTTCTGTTTATTTCCCTAAAACCCTCTCTATAATTTCAGTTGGATGCAGTAAAAGCTATGGCCAAGCAGGAGGTGCTTAGCTGGGCTTTGCTAAGCAGATATGAAACAAAGCATCTCGCTTATGACAGCCAAGATAGGGGCAAAACCACACAACTACCAGGTATGCCAAGTAGCCCATCAGAATCACAGGACAGCTCGGGTTGGAAGGGACTTAAAGATTACCTTGTTCCATGCCCATGCTGTGGGCAGGACTTCCAGCCACCACTGGTGCTGGTTTCACTGCTCTTTTATACATTGAGATGAGTGGATAGAGGATGTGGTTTTAGCCAGTACCCTTTTCTCAGCTCCTCTTTGGGATGCTGTTTGTACCTCTGCTTGCTACAGTCTCTTCAGTTCAGTGGAGGGGGACTCCTCAGGGCTGGCAACGCTGAGCATCGACACGTAGAAGGACACATTAAACAACACAGAGAGGTGTGAGAAACACATACCATGAAAGAATCTGGTTGTATCCATACTGGAAGTCCCTTTCCTTGCACTTCTGGACAGGATACGCCAATTGGTTCTCATGGAAGTAGAGGACCTTTTTCAATTTGCCCAGGTCAGGGCGCAGGGCAGCGAGTTCAGCCAGGTTAAGCACAGAGCTTGCAAAGAGGATCCTGGAAACAAGGAGAGCAGTGTTTACTGCCTGTGAGCATGCTCACAGGGGTCACCCCTTACCCTTCGCCTCCCCTTCTCCCCCCCAAGAAAAACATAACCCCTATAGGGACACATCAATAGCTAAGCCTTAATACCATGTAGCAGCATTCGAAGTTTTGATCTCTTAAAAAGCAGCTGCTAAGAACCCAACTAGAAAAGCACTGAATCTCATTGGTCTTCCCAGCTCAGTTACAGAGAGATGCAAAATAAAAAAGCTGGATGGATTTTATTGAAAAAGGCAAGAAAAGCTGTATCTGAAGGACAAATGGAACAAAGATAAGGCTGACTAGGGAATACTTTGCTTGCCAGTTTCATTACACTTTACTTCTTTATGCAACCAACTACTGAAATTCAATATATGAGCAGGAATGGCACATGTTCGTGTTATGACATAAACCCTTTTGATTTATGCAGTACACTTATCTAGTGTAGTCTCTTTTTTCACCCTTTTGCTATGTTTTATTTTCTCATTTTTCTAAGGTATCCTATATATGAAATGTTTGTATACTCACACCCCAGTATCGCCGTAGCACTCTTGCTATTCCACAGTCTACAGCATTGCTCACATCCATCAGGTATATTAAGCAGGCACAAACAACACTAACAAGCTGGTATCTCAGCCTTGTATAACCTAACAGGCTATAAGAAAATGGGCTTACTTAAATACATAATAGCAAATTGTGGCCCTGCTGAAAACAGTGGCAGATTTCCTATAATTTCTCCACAATTATATGAGTGCCTCCTGTCCCTTGGTCAGCACAGCCTCCAAATCAACTGAATCCTGAAACTCTAGAGAGCCACAGACACTCATGTTATAAATTTCTCATTATTAAGGATAAAAAAAGTATAGGGATCAGGTATTTTATTGCACGTTAAACATTAAGCTTTAATGCAGTACTTCTTAACGTAGCACATTTCTGACATTTTGGGGGGCTATTTGCCATTTCAAGAATTTCAAGATTTGTGAAATGCTTCATTTTTCTAAAATCTTTTCAATTTTTTTTTCTCTTTTTACATAGATTTAGTGTTCAAGAATACAGCTGAGCTCGCATCATTAACATTATAACCTTCCAACTCTGGCTATCAAACTTAAAACTTGTGAATTCCCCCAAATATCCACACTCACACATCATATATGTACCATAACGTTACCTTTGCTACTACCCACACTGTCTCTAAGTAATCTGCATGTAGAGAACAAACACTTCCTAGAGAACTCATCCTGCATCCGTCTTCATCAGTGCAAATCAATGCTAATCTGAAAGGCTTACCAAAGTAAAAGATGAATGTGACTGCTTTGCTCATCAAATATTTGGTACTTTAAAGGGATTGTTAAACAGAATAGCAATGAAGACACAAGCACTGCTTTGCCACGAGCCACCCAAAGACCAAGAAAGCACTTGTTAGCTAAGTCACAACTTGTTTGCCATGTGGAATGACAGCCCATGGAGCACACCATGACTGGGGCCAGGCTCCAAGCAGATGGGAGAAGGATTCCTACAGCAGGTACAATGCACCTAACATGCAATAAGACTGCAAAAATAAGGTTAATGGCTGCTTGGAAAAATGCTGGACTGCCTCATGGCTTATCCTTTCCTTTTCATACCACGGGTATCTCAGAAATTCTTTCTGCAATGAGCTGGGAAGAAAACTGAACTGGTGCAAGAGAGTGCCTATGAACTCAGCTGTGTTTGAATGAGGAAGGAAAGGAAGAGATGGCACATGGGGACAGAAAGCAGGGGCAGCAGCACAGAGCAGGACACAAATGCCACGGTGGGAAGAGCATGGTGTAGGTGTCAGGGCCATGAGACAAGAGCTGAGGTTGAAGCCTGGTCACAGCCACACAGCTCTGCAGCATCCTAATCCACTCAGGCAGATAAAGGCAGAGCAATATGAATAAAGATGTTTATATCCACAGGAAAGGAACGTAATTCTTGCAGACAAATCAAAGGAAGCTGAGTTGGACTAGATCACTTTTAAAGGTCCCTTCCAACTCTAAGGATTCTGTGATTCTGCGATTGAATACACAGAACATCGGACATCAGGGGGAAATTCTTTACCCAGAGAGTGGTGAGGCACTGGAACAGGCTGCCCAGAGAGGTTGTGGATGCCCCGTCCTTGGAGGTGTTCAAGGCCAGGTTGGATGGGGCCCTGGGCAGCCTGGTTTAGCATTAAATGTGGAGGTCGGTGGCCCTGCATGTGGCAGAGGGGTTGGAGATTCACGATCCTTGAGGTCCCTTCCAACCCTGGCCATTCTGTGATTCTGTGATTGAATACAACAGCACCATTGCAGAGAGCCAGAGGCAGGCTTCTTTTAAGGCAAAAAGGAGCAAAACTTGGGAAGCGTGTAAGAGCCAGACCTAAATTTTCCACAGTGTAAATGAGAAGCGATAAGAATTAACAAGCAGATCGCTTAGGACTGCCCAGCTCATACATAAACCAGTGCCAAGAGAAAACTGTTGCAATTACTAGAAAATTCTGATTTAGAAGCTGAAATGACACTGTTTACATTTCTTACGGCAAATAAAGCGTTGAATTGGTAACAGGTTAGAAAACACCTTTCCTCATTCACTTGCATCACTTCTCAGCGCTTCAGTTTGCTTCCAGAACCGAACTCAGTGGGCACCAGAATGCTCCTCTGTTTGTTTCTTTGCTGGCATAATAGCTGCTAACTACCAGCACAAAGCACTTTCTTCAGCTTTGCGAGCCTAAATAGCACCTGACAGCCCAAGTCACTGTGAACGTGCCCACAGAGCAGCTGTGGACGTGGCTAATGGACTCGTGCAGGGCACTGGAGGATACGCTGCCGTGGGTTTCCACTTAACACCTATTACAAGGGGAAGAAGGGAAAGTTTATTATAATGTAACGTGAGACATAAATATATGTCAGTTGTCATTCTATGTGACACTGACTTTCATTTTACCTCGGGTTATTATTTAAGTAATAAATCCTAACAAGGTGAGCTTTATCATCCCACCGAGTGTATCCGGGAGGTAGAGACACAAGGTGATAGCAAGAACGCTCCAAACATGATAATTCCTGACAGCTGCTGCTTGAGCACAAGTTAAATTGAACAGTTTATCTCAGCATAAAGATGTTATAAGGTTTTATGTTTAATTTAAAAAAATTAACATAAAACCCAGAGAAAGCAGAGTTAGGCAATCTTTCACAAACATGACATACTACAATCACTGTATAAGCTGGATTAGTACTTATTACCATGCTACTAGAGAATTAAGCTGTTTTTAGACCACCAAAGAGCTTTAAATTGCAACTTTTGTCTCTGTAAGAGAAACCTATATTTAAAACGTCTGCTAAATTCAAATTAACTGCTACATCATTAGCTTGCCACCTCACAAAAAAACACATTTAAACTGCTATTACAGTATTCTTATCCAAACCTATCACTGCTGCAACACATAATACAACAGTAGCTCTCCATGAATACAATGTGCAAAGTGTCACAGAGCTGAAGGTCATGCTGGTAATGCCCCAGCTGTCCTCCCCAGGATAACCCTGGGCACTTTGCAACCATCAGGATGTGGTGCCCAGCAGCACCAGCACCTTGGAGGCCAGCCAGACTGCAGGGCCACCCTCTACATAGACTCTGGTTTTACTCTAAGATTGTGCTTAATTTGAAGCACTTAATTGTCCTCCTGACTTCTGAGGGAACTACTTACGTGAATTAAGTTAAGCAGGTGCTTAATTCATACAAATATTCATGGGAAGGAGGCCGAGCAGGCTTGCAGACTGAGAGCAGCGTTGTGTGTGCAGAATGACCTGACCTTTGCTTTGCCTGTTGTTTAATTTCAAAAAGCTGAAAAGGACTAAAATTGTAAAAAATTAAAAAACAGTAACAGCGTTTATATCATCAGCCGACAATACGTATCAGCCTGATGTGAGTTTCCATTTATACCAAGCAAAATACAAGGTGCTACAATATTTTTGTTTTGTTTAATAGATCTTTGTGCCACGTAACCGTGATTTACTCTTTTAAGAAACTGTCCTAAATCTTTCAATTAAATCCCCATGCAACCTAACTAAAAACACATTTTGCCTTCCCCTTGGGAGACCACACAATGCACATTTACTTATCTGTGGATCCGGAGACGGAACCCTCTGAGCTGGCTGAGCTTCCAGCACAGAGCACATCGAAAGCACTGCTGATTGGCACTGGGACCCTTGTAGCCTAGCAAGGGGCACTGCTGGAGGGAAGGGAATGAGCATCCACATAGAACACACTGGTGGAACCCACAAGGACCAGTGAGTCCAACACCCAGCTCCACACTTGGGTACCACCCAAACCCCACTGCTCCCTGAGCTCCACCATGCCCACCACCTTCAGCGACACAGCCTTTCCCAAACACCCAGCCTGTGTTGTCTTCATGCTCCTCAAGAACAAACCCGAGGGTTCTGGTTCCTCCATCTCATCCCCTAGCACACCCGTGGTTTCAATCCAGTCATTTGGACACGTCCACTGATTTGCCTTAAAGGTGTGTTTCTCAACTCCAATCCACACATCAAATAGCATTATTAACATGTGCAATGCTAAACAGACCAGTTATCTTCATTCAGTGTCACACATTTTTTTAGGATCAACCTGCAGAATGTGTGCTTTTATCACTGTACCAAGAATACAGTGATCGTAATCGGATACAAAACGCTTTTTCAGTTCCCATTGAACAATAGATGCTCCTGAATTTCCAAATAATAAATACTGATCAACGATAATATATGACAGTAGACAACGTAATATAAATTAACTCTAATTTTTTTGGACATGCAATGCACAAATGTCAAAAATGCTTATAGATCCTATAATACACATCTCGTAAATTACACTTTTATAGATAGAGCGTAATTTGAAATGTTTACAGAAATAATTAAGTCTTACCACTCGAACATGCCTTATTTTTCAAAACAAATCACAAGGGCTGTCATGCCTTTCATCTTAATTAG